ATTTTTCGCGTAGTTGTTGCATCAGAACTAGCAAGCCTCATCATATCCTTAAGGGTCGTTCTCTGAGAGTGCCTCTGTGGGCACTGATGGCGCAACCGTATCCAAATCCGCTTGCCCCGAGATGGGCGCGCGCCCAGGTGAATGCCCGATAGCAGTCTAGCGCTCTGGCCATGTCTTCCTCGTGGTTCGGCAGCCTCCAGTAGGTTCGGGAATGGTTTGGCCGAGGGCCTCTCAGCAGATTGTAATTCGCGTGGCGTCTTGGTTTCTGCCTGGGCACAAAAGTTCACGGTGCAGCCTTTTGCTCCAGAGTATAATCCGACAGCGGCCTCGAAAAAGCCATCGTCGGGGCATGGTCCTTACGATGAGGATGAGGATGGTGATGGTGATGCTGATAATGATCATGATGCTGATGATGACGATGATGATATTGATGGGGATGGTGATGAATATGATGATGGTGATGATGATGATGGTGATGATGGTGATGGTGGTCCTTCTTTTCGAAACTTAATGCCTTACGAGGGGGGGTTGAGAGGCCGAATGCTTGCATTCCGTAGCCTTCGGCTCTCGAGTTCCTTCCCTCCCCTGTCTTGTCACTACAATGCTCCCCCGTGGCCGAGGGCATTTCGGCATACTGTAATTCGCGTGGCGTCTTGGTCTCTGCCTGGGCCCAAAGGTGCACGGTGCAACCTTTTGCTCCATAGTATAATCCGACAGTGGCCTCGGAAAAACCATCGCGGGACATGATGATGCTGCTTATGATTGAAATGATGATGCTGATGATCATTATGTTGATGCTTCTGTCGATGATGACGATGTTGATGATGGTGGTGATCAGGGTGATTCTGATGCTATGCTGCTGTTGATGATGTTCGGAGTCGAGGTGATGGTGGTGCTGTGCCATGGTTGTGGTTATGAGGACCAAAACTCGTGAAGGTGATGAAGGTGATGGTGGGGATGACGATGCTGATGATACTGTTGGTGATGCCGATGGTGACAATGATGGGTGTGGTGGTGGTGGTGATGTGGCATGGCGGCGATTAGGATGACCAGGAAGCATGCATCTGTGATGTTGCTGCTGCCGGTGATGATGACGATTATAATGCTGCTGATGCCGATGATGATGATGATGATGATGATGATGATGATGATGATGATGCTGGTGAGTTTGATACTGCTGCTGCTGTTGATGATGATGCTTCTGGTGCTGTTGATGACGATGATGTTAATGATGCGAATGATGATATTGATGATCATGATGATGCTGATGATGATGGTGATGTTTATGATTGTCATGATGGTGGTGGTCGTGATGCCGATGATGATGAAGATTATGATGACGATGATGGTGATGACGATGATGATGAGGATGAGGATGGCGATGATGACGGTTATGCTGACGCTGTCGATGATGATAGCGATGGTGAATTTGGTGATGCTGATGAACCTGATGCTGCTTCCGCTTATGATGATGCTGATGGCGATGATGATGCTGATGGTGATGATGATGACGATGCTGCTGATGATGATGCTGATGATGCTGATGATGAAGCTGCGGATGATGCCGTGTCTGACCGCTATAACGACGTTGATGATGTTGATGGTGGTGGTGGTGATGATGATGAGGCTGACGATGTTGCGGCTGATGCTATTGATGATGATGCTGATGTTCATGGTTATTATGATGAAATTGTGGTTGTTGGTATTGGCGTTGCTGTTGTTGTTGTTGCTGTTGTCGTTGTTGTGATTGTGATAGTGGTTGCTGCTGTTGTTGTTGATGTTGATGAAGCTGCTGCTGCTGATGCTGCTGCTGATGATACTGAAGGCTGACGGTGGTGATGATGACGACAACGATAGCGATAACGATGAGTAAGATTCTGACGATGACGACGATGGTCTCGATGACGATGACGATGTGGCAATTTTGATAATGATGCTGGCGATGATGCTGGCGATGATGATGGTCATGATGCTGATGATGATGATGATGATGATGATGCTGCTGATGATGATGATGATGCTGATGTTGATGATGATGATGTTGTTGTTGATGATGATAAAGCTGATGATGATGATGATGATGATGATGATGATGATGATGATGATGATGATGATGCTGCTGCTGCTGCTGATGATGATGATGATGATGATGATTATGATGATTGATGATGAGATGATGATGTATATGGATGATGGATGTATGATGATTATGATGATGTGATGATGATGATGATGATGATGATGATGATGATGATGATGATGAATGTGATGATGATGATGGTGGTGGTGGTGGTGGTGTTGTGAGGTGTGGTGGTGGTATGTGGTGATGATAATGATGATGCGATGATGATGTATGAGTGAGGAGGAGGAGGAGGAGGAGGAGGAGGAGCGAGGAGGAGGAGGAGGAGGAGGAGGTATGGTAGGTAGGAGGAGCCCTCGCCGCCCCTCCTCCTCTCGGTGCATGCAAGAGCAAGTGGATTGGGTGTTGTTTGTGGTTTTGTGGTCCTTTTTTGAAAGGAGCGTGTTCTACCGCGGCTGGCGTGAAAAACTACGGGGGGGGGTTGGTCACTACTGGTTCGACCCTCCCCCCCCCACCCTCCAGAAAACCGGGGGGTCACGACGGTTCGACCCCCCCCCCCCCCCCGTTCATCATGAAAAGGGGGTTGGGGTCACATACGGTGGAAAACCCCCCCCCCCCCCCCTCCCCCTCGAAAACTGGGGGGGGTCACTACCGGTTCGAACCCCCCCCCCCTCGAAAACCGAGGGGGGGGTACGGACAGTGGTGGGGACGGTGGACAGTGGTGAGGGGACAGCGGGACAGTGGTGGGGACAGTGGGACACTGGTGGGGACGGTAGTGGTGGGGACAGTGGTGAGGACAATGGTGGGAATAGTAGGGACAGCGTGTCATCAAAACCACATTTTGAAAACCACGTGTCATCAACATGTGAGAAAGAGCGCGTTCTACCGCTGCTGGCGGAAAACCGGGGGGGGTCACTACCGGTTCGAACCCCTACCCCCCCCCTTCCGGAAAACCGGGGGGGGTCACTACCGGTTCGAACCCCTCCCCCCCCAGTTCATCATGAAAAGGGGGAGGGGGTGTTGTGTGTGATGTGTATGGTGGTCAGGTGTCATACTACCGAGTTCGAACCCCCCCCCCGCTGAATGCGAAAAAAACCATGGGGTGGGTCACTTACGCCGTGCGAAACCCCCCCCCCCAATGGCAACTGAGGTGGGGGGTTGCGCCGGGACCAGTGGTGGGACGGGTGGTGGGGACACAGTGGGAGTGACAGCGAGGACACCGGTTGTGGACTAACAGTTGTGACAGTGGTGGGGACGGTCAGGATGGGGACAATGGTTTATGAGGACCAATGGTGGAACAGTGGGGACAGTGGCGACAGTGGTGGGAGGACGGTGGTTTGCGTTGTGGGGACTTTATTTGTTGTTGTGTTGTTGTGTGTTGGACAGTGGTGTGGGGAGTGTGGTGGATGGAAACTTAGTGAGGACAGTGGAGGGTACAGTGTTGGTTGGGGACAGTGGTGTGAAGGCCGGGTGGTTGGGGCTGGTGGCGAGGACGGCGGTGGGACAATGGGACAGAGGTACAGTGGGGACAGTGGTGGGGACAGTGGGGACCGTGGTGGGAACAGTGGGACAGCTCAGTGGGTCAGCGGAGGAGTCAGTGGGACAGTGGGGATAGTCGGGCAGTGGTTGGGGCCGTGGAGAAAGTGGGGAGAAGGGGAGCGTGGTGGAAACAGTGTTTTAGTGGGTGGGGAAGTTTGGGGTGGACAGTGCGACTAGTTTGGGTTGGTTTTGGTTGTGTGGGCACACTTGGCTGGGTGAGTTGCGAGATTGTGGGGACGGTGGTTGGAGGCCTAGTTTGGGGAAAGTGGGTTGGTTTGAGGGACATAGTGGTGACGGGGACAACAGTCTGGGGATGTTGGTGCGGACTTTATTGGTGGCGGACGTGGTTAGGGCCGGGAGTCGTTTGCCTGGCGGGGATTGGGGTGGGGGGAGGTGGTTCGGAACCCCAGTGCCCCCCTTGGTTTTCGAGGGGGGGAGGAAGGGGGGGGTTTCGACCCGGTAGTTGACCCCCCCGGTTTTCGAGGGGGAGGGGGGGGGGGGGGGGTTAGGGGAGGGAGGGGTTTGCAGGGGGAGGAGGGGGGGGGGGGGAGGGTTTCCAGTAGCCGAGGGGATTTCGGAGTGGGTGGGGACCCCGGGTTCCGGAGGAAAAGTGCGGCAATTTTCCACAGTAAAGCGGCGGTGGATCACGATCTCTCTCCTTTTTAAAGCGGGGGTCGCGCTGGACACCTCACTGAGCTGTATGATAATACCTTTCTCTGCGTGTTTATTGTCATTCGCAGGAGGCAACAAGTCAGCTCGTTCCTTTTTTGAAGCGGGGCTCTCGCCTGAGTGGCAGGCCCATAGGGTGCTGGTCTTCGAAAGGGGCGCCTCTTGAAGTGGGAGGGAAGGCTTACAGGGACTTACGCGGAGGAGGCTTGGGACGGAAGGGTATAGTGCAGCATCTTTGATGCACCTTGGGTTTACTCTGGTCCTCCTCCTCGTCCTCCTCCTTCCTGTCCTCCTCCTCCTCCTCCTCCTCCTCTTCCTTGGCCCTTCCCTCCTCCTCCCCCCACTCCTCCTCCTCCTCCTCCTTCTCCTCCTGCTCTTCGTCCTCCTCCTCCTCCTCCTCCTCCTCCTCCTCCTCTTCGTCTCCCTCTCCCCCTCTCCCTCGTCTTCCTCCTCCTGCTCCTCCTCGTCCTGCTATTCCTCCTCCTGCTCGTCCTGCTCCTCGTCGTCGTCTTCGTCGTCGTCTTTCTGCTCGGCCTCCCTCTCCTCCTCCTCCCTCCTCCTCCTTCCTCCATTTCTCCTCACTTCCCTTCTGCTCCTCCTCCTCCTCCTCCTCCTCCTCCTCCTCCTCCTCCTCCTCCTCCTCCTCCTCCTCCTCCTCCTCCTCGTTCTCCTCCTCATCTGGCGATGAAAAAACGGAGCCCCCCCGCCGCAGCAGCCGCCGCAGCTGCAGCAGCCGGCTCCGGGGCCGCCGCCCGACACGGGGCTCCGCCTGGGCTCCAGGGCCAAAGGCGCGGGGAGCGCCGAGCGCGCGCCGCGTGCCCGGGAGGGGAGGGGGGGAGTGGCAGGGGAGGGCCCGAGGGGGGGAGCGCAGGGGTGAGCGGGGGAGGGTTGGGGTCGGCGACGCGGCAGGCACGGGTTCCACCTGCGCGGGGGGCCCCGCATGGACAGGGCACGTGCCAGGGCACTGGCTCCACTTCTGAAGAGAAGAGAAGAGAAGGGAAGAGGAGCGAAGAGAAGAGAAGAGACGATGTGAGGGGGCGAGCGGCGGGGGAGCAGAGAGGGGGAGAGCCGGAGGAGGGGAAGGGCGCATTGGCTGCTTGTTCCGCAGCGGGGGGGGGGAGGGGGCCAGACCCTCGCGTCGTGAACATCAGCACGACGTACGATTTTTGGCCGTTTCCGGCCTCACAGTGCCCTCGCTGGGCCCGGGGACCATCGAACAAATATTCAGGATGCGGAGCCGCTCCCGGGGGAGGGGCCGGGACGTCGAGTCGATTCTGCGACGCAGATTGCGACGTCGGGGGTCTGGGGGGAGGGTGGGGAGGGGGTGGGGCTTAAGTTTGCGGTTCCTGGGAGGTTAGATTCAGTATCGGTGCTGCATTTCCTACAGTCTGATCCGATTGAATTGGCCTGGCTGCGGCATGATGCCGCCCAATTTGGTTTGATTCGGCATGGTTCGTTATTATATTCCACTCCAGCACAGGTCGCCCCTTCAGTGGGCTCATTCGTTCTCAGTCATTCCCACGAAGACCTCCCTGGAGTTGCCTCTTGGGGTCCTCGACGAGGAGGAGCGGAAAAGGGGGGATGGTGTTTGCCGTCCGCCTCCTGCGCTCGGCCAGCTTGCTTGCTTGCTTGCTTCGCTTCCTTGCCGCAGTGAGGGAGGGATGGGGAGGGTTTCGACATCCGAAACCTAGGACAATTCGCTGGCCCAACGGGCCAGACGCGTGCTAAACTTTCGGGAAAAAACTCCAGGGTATTTTTTGTTTCGCGCGCGCGCGGGGCGGCCCCTTGGGGGTCTAGGACGAACAAATCCCTGACCTGAGAAGGTCTGGGCCAGAGATGTTTCCCAACCCTCCAGTTGTTGGGTGCTCGTCTTGAGTAGAGCGCTGTGGTCTCCACGTCTCCCGCCTCCCTCTCCCTCTCTGCCTGCTTCTGCGCCGCCCCCTGTGCGGCAGTGAGCTGCACAACGCTTGCTCTTGTCGCGGGCTCCTGGGAGGTCCAGGGGAGTCGGGGGCCACGCGGACCCAGACGAGAGCTGACTTTAAGGGTAGCTCTTTGGGAGATGTTACAGTATCGGGAGCATAGCTCGCGCGCCGTTGCCTTTGGCCCAAGGCACGCGCGCCCTATTTGCCCGGACACTGCGAGTGTTCGCTATGTGCTGGAAAGATCATTACATCGATCTTATCCTATCTTACTCATCCACCCCTCATACTGTACCTTCACAGCAGAGCGATGGATGCAATTTGCCAGGCTATATGCCATATTTGAGCTACCAGGCTCACTGTCGACTTGGTAGCGGAGCTGGCCGCACTCTCGTGTGGTCAGCTCTTGCTTTTCTTAGCCTCATATTCTTCGGCACGATCTTCGTGACTACCTACCACTCTGCGCCACCACTCCCAGTACGTTTACGAGGATCTATCCAAGAGCAAGAAGCAACACGAGAGGTACGACGTCTAGACGACCAGACTGGTACCGTATACGCTTCATCAGTGCGTTACCACCAACCGCTCGGCAACGAGCCAACAGCGCAATACTTGAAGCAGGGGCGGGGAGACCCGCCAGACAGAGCGCCTCGAAGACTCGACAAGGCGCTACCCCAGCGCGACAACGCGCATCATAACCGTCCTTCGTTACACATTCTCGGGCTAGTCGTTTTCGCTATTATATGGTTCGCGCTGGGGGCAGCAATCGGACACATGCGTCGTGGAGAAAACAGCACCGATGGGCAAACACATGGCCCATATTGGGACCCTCAAGGTAATGTACCTTTTCGTGAGTACATCTACGAGGTCAACGCATGGCTCAACGTTACAAGCGGACGTATGACGCCACAGGCCCAAGCGGCCGCAATACAACGCGGCCTAGGTGGCCTAGCGAGGACACTCGCCATGAGGGTACCGCCTGACATTATCAACTATGGTGCTGACATCGATGGGGTCCACACAGACCCAGTGACCTACATCATGTTCCTCCTAAGCATGAAGTTCGAACGCCTGGAAGAGCGACAGCTCACTTCCGGCACACAACTCATCGACTTCCACGTGCCTCACGGGGAACGAATCGATGTCACCCTTACCCGATTCGAAATGGCCCGACTGGAGGCACAATCGGTGGGATTCGACCTTCCCAACTTCCAACTGCTAACCACTATCCTATTCCGCGCCTTAGGCGTCGGCAACCAGCGAGCCATGCAACTCTTACAGCCACTCAATCACCAAATGCCCCGAACACAACAACAATATGATGAGTTGCTGGAGAGGATGCGTTCGATAGGCCACCTATCCGAACGGGCTCCTGGTAACATAGGATCTGTGTTTGGAAGGGGAAGGGGATCTGGTAGTGGAAATTTCTACACTACCTTGACCACTGAAGCCCAGCCTGGAAACGGGCCCTCAAGCGTATGGGCCGATGACCCAGGAGAATCCACTGCTTTATTAGCAGGGGATCGATCACAACCAAGCTGGGCAACCAGCCCTCCTTCTAGATAACCACAACCACACCGTTCTTTGTGGGGGGAATCAAACCCCCTAACCGACGGTGTATCCACCTACTTGGGAGACGAGGATTTCGACTCCGGCACCCATACAGACACTATATCATCAGATGGTGTTGAAGCTTTAGATTGGTCAGATATTATGAATATGGATAACGACAATCAGCGTGCTGAGCATTTGTTCTGGTTATTACAACAGGCTAAACGAAGGTGGAGGAGGTTCACACGAAAACCAGTGCGTCGTGTTAGAAGGAGGATACGTAGAAGTTTTAAAGGAAAGGGTAAAGGCAAGCGAGGTCGTCGGAGGTTGAACGGACGAGGTATCGCGGCATTTCTCCAGAGGCTCTCAGATGAACAACATGATGAGATATTCTTTGGGGGAAAAGGCCGTGGTAAAGGCCGTAGAGAGACCTCAGGAAAAGGCAAAGGTAGGCGGGGAAACCCGCGAGGTAGAGACGGCCAGGTTCTCAAATGCCATGAATGTGGTAGTTCCGATCATCTTGTGCGAGATTGTCCAGTGAAGGGAAATGGAAAGGGCAGGTCGACCGAAGTCCATTTTGGCTCAAGTGAACCATCCATTGAATATCTGAGCCTCCAGGACTTTGAGGCTATGGAGCAGATATTTTTCACTTGGGTTGTTGGCATGGACAACGTCGACGAGCTCGAAGCGTATGGTCATGGATTGTACGCGTACTACCTCGAGTACGTCCGCCGGTTCGTTATGGGCAGTAACGAGCTTACTCCCGTGGAACACGGTACGCTGGGAAACCAGCCTCTTTCTTTCTACGACTGGATGTTCGGGAACCCAGGCAACATCATGGCCTACGAGAGCGACGACGAGGACACCACTATAGAGGCTTCGCCTTCCGAGGTTCAACGGAACCTCGAACCTCCGCCCGAAATCCCGCCTGGAAACAGGCCGTCTCTGATGGGAGAATATCCCCAGACCACTGAAGACTTAATTGAAATGGAGTCTCAGGCATTTGTTCAGGCCTTCATTGCAGGCGAACCAGATACTCCGTTCATACCTCCTGGTTCGCTTGCTCCAGGCGAATATGGACCACGCACCCTTTTGCAGACCCTCATGAGGATGCATGAGATACTTATAACTGGTTATCCTGAGAGTCAAGAACATATCGAAGCTGACATTATGACAGAACAGGATACTGATGCTTGCGGTAGCTCAGAGCTGTTGTTGGCAGCTCTGACTCTCATTGACAGCGTGCATCCTCAGGACGTGCAGAGACACTTGATATACTCCCGTGGTAGATGGCGTAATGCTCTAGAAATGGCTATTGCTATGCGCGGTCATGATCTTCCTCCGCCAGGATGGGGTCTCCAGGCGGTGGGAATGAGGCCAAACCATACGGCCATGCGTAACATTGCTGGGCAGCCTGTGCTCGGCAACGAGCCTGAGCCGACAACAGTGCCTCCTACTCCGGGACAGCCGAGCGACGCACAGACGCCGGCTATGCAGGGAAACCTGCCTGTACCAGATACGCCAATGGCCATCATCATCGGTAGTTCGACATCAGAAGAAGTAGAAGGCGATGGTTGCGGGTTAGATGAGGATGACGTCACCATCCTCATGATGGACGTGAATGGTGAGGAAGAGGTTGACTTCGATCCTGATGAGTCTGAATCATCATCACCATCGGCACAAGCGCCATTTGCGCCGAGCTCCACCCAGCAGGGAGACCTGCCTCCATCGGACGATCCATCTGGGATCGCACAGGAGCCTCCTCAGGCACCTCCACCGGGTGCCGCTCCTGCTGCTTCGGCAGCTTCCTCTGATGAGAACACCAGAAGATCTCGCTCCCATACGCGCGTCAGAGAAGAGCCACATCCACAGGCTCGACTTCCTCGTGAGTGGAGGCAGGCTGGCCCAAAAGAACACGCTCTCAGGAGAGGTGGCCAGCTACTTCCGTACAACGACCCAAGACGCCGAAAAGGGGAACACTCGGCCTTCGGCAAGGGCAACCCTGCCTATAGGGACAGTGATGGCAAGGCCATCCGCGGAGGCTATCAGCTTGCAACAAATATCCGCCGCCCTGAAATTCAAGAAGCGCGGACTCAGTTGCGAGATATTATCGCGGCGCGCAAGCAGTATAGGCCTCACGCAGCATGCGGACCTTGTTCCCGGCCGTTCCAGAACCACAGGCCAGGATGCCCCGTTGGCAACAACGAAGGCCTGAGCCCCAACAGGGGCAAAACCCCTCATAAAGAGGGCCATCCGCAACTTATCCCGATGGCACAGGAAGAAATTGCAGAAGTGAATCGTCGTCTCGGGATCTTGAG